TGATTTATTTAATTACGATTACATAACTTGATTTATTTACCTGATTGATTACCGGTAGATATAATTAAGTGCCCCGAGTTATTACTATAATCGAATCTCTTTATTATTATATTACTTTGAGTTCTATACAAAGAACATACAAGTTAACTATTGGAGCTAAACTCTGCTGATAGTTCTATAAGCACTCCCAAACAATAGTAACAGTACGTACAGTACATACGTAAGCATATGGTTTATTATAATGCTAAACGTCGATTCTACCAGGGTGCCCAACGGCTTATGTAATATTCTAAGCATGTTCGATCAATCAAAAATTAATCACGGGTCAGGATACATGTAAAAATTTTTTTGTTAAACTTTGAACAAAGTTTTCTCGATAACTACCTGACCAAATTCGATGAGGATTTTTATTTTAATTCTATGAGTGTGTAAAATTAGAATAAAAAAATTTTATATCGAATTTGGTCAGGTAGTTGTCGAAAAAACTTTGCTCAAAGTTTAGAAGTAATTTGTTCCGTATATCAGTAAATTAAGTGCTTAATTTTTTAAAACATTGAGCAACGTTTTCTCGATAGCCATCTGACCAAATTTAATGAATTTTTTATTATTTTAATTCTACACGTTTGTAGAATTAAAATTATTAAAATTTTTTATCGAATTTTGTCAGGTAGTTATTGAGAAAATTCGGCAAAATTTTTAAAAAACGTAAAAAATTGTTTAAATATATGCTGGCCTTTCATTAAGTTTAATTTGTCGAAATGCTTAGATTGTCAGTGAACATTATTATGTAAACTGTTGGGTAAAAGTTGCTCCCGCTCTCCTATGACAAATATAATTATAATATATTTTTCATCAGCAAAAAAAAAAAAAAGCACTTAAAATATGGAAACAATTTACTTAAAAAAGTTAGATAAACATATAGTTGCTCTTATATAATTACAACATATCAATATATAATTGAATATAAATAAAAAAACCCACAAATTTATTCGATTGCTAATACAGTAATGGATCCTAGTTGAGGTATTGATCAACTCCTTGTAACCAACTTTACCCTTGCCAATTTTCATTGTCTTTGATTTATTCGGTTAGTTTATTTCCTTTGATTACTAGAAAGATTTATATTCTATTAAACTCTTTCCATTTAAATTTTCTATTAACTTTTTCCATTTAAAAAAAGAAGCTGGTAAGGAAGTTGATAGTTTGACGAAAATTTTCATCGTTGCGATTTTTTGTTTTTATTAGTTATTCGAATAAGTTCTTATCCAATTCAGTTTCTTCACCTGTATAGATAGTTTGGCTTTCATTTTTTAACAAAGTTATAACGGTTTCGACTTCACTTAAAGTCAATAATTTATTTAATTTTAAGGGATATTTTTTTAATAAATTTCGCTTTACAAAAATGTTTAAAAGTTTTACAGTTGTTTAAATATCAAGAAATATCGATTTGCAAAAAGTAAAAATATATTTTAGTGATATCAAACTAATACCGTAAATGTTGATATCGGAGAACAAATATTTTACACAGCCGCAGCCACTCAAGTGACAGAGGCTTTTTGTTGTTGCTCTGGGGAAGATACTTGAGACCAACTACCCCAGCATAGCCACCAAAAAGTTGCACATTTAAAAATTCTGTGCCTTGTTATGCATATTGCATACATAACAATTGTACGGTCCTTAATTCAATATAATATATTTCTTTCGAACTTTGCGCGAGAATATCTAAGGAACTACCTAACCAAAATTGAAGAAAAATTATATATATCAATAGAATTAGAAAAGAATTTTTTTATCGATTTTAGATAGGAAAGTTTGTAAAAACTTGTCACAGTCTTTTTTTTATAATCGCTCATGTTTTTATGAACTTTAAACGAGAATATCTCAATAACTACTTACCTAAAATTGATAAAAAAAAAAGGTTTATTTTAATTCTATAAATTAATATAATTAAATCCAAATATATATCTTTAATTTAGGTTAGTTATTAGATATCCTCATACAATGTTTAATAAAATTTAGACGATTTTCAAAAAGGTCGTGGGCAAGTTTTTCCAAACTTTGAGCGACAATATTTCGAGAATTATCTAGCTAAAATCGATAATTTTTTAAAGTTTATTTTTATAGTTTCATAGAATTAAAATAAAAACAGTTTTACCGATTTAAGTACGTAAGTAGTCATGGAGATATCATCGATTACAGTTCATAAAAATTTAGACAATTATAAAAACAAAGAATGAAACATGTGATAGGTTAAGAGAAAGATATGCAGTCATGTTTGAAGTTGATACTTGCTTAAAGTTGCATTTGAATGAAAATTAGCTCTGAAATTAGATTTTCTTGCATGCATTGACTAGTAATTTAAAGCAAGTGCAACTTCTGGCGTTTGAAATCATAACTGCAGGGCGATGCTGATTTCAAGCACGACAATATCACCGGCAAGAAAATACTACTGGCAAGAAAATGCTTGTCAAACATAACATTAATTACAATTACTATTATTCCATAATATAAAAAATATATGATAATACAAACTTTTAAACTGTATATAATGATAAAGAAAATAAAGGATATAAATTACTCATAGACCGAAAATACGATTGCACGTGAAAATAGACTTAAACTTAAAATTTTATTTTTCATATATCAAAAATATGCATGCGTAACATTATCGATGTAGCTATATGAATCAACAAATAAAAAAAACTGTAGACAGAGGAGCATACAGAATTCTTCTAGGTATATATATTATTAATATTATTAATGATATTATTAATGTTATTATTATTAATCATGTATAGTATTACAACCCTTCTATTTGAGTTGCGAATAGTCAAAATTGAGGTTAAAATAATAAACCACCAATGAATAAAGCAATCAAATAACCTCTGAATAGCTCAACATTGCTAAATTGAGCAGTTAAAGAAGAAGCAGCACTTGAAGGTTTGGCAGTAGATCTAAAAAGTAAATGGTTATATTTGAAAATTAATTAATTAAGACAATTAATTAAAATGAGTAATGCTTCTTGAAAATACTTACGAAACAGTGGGAGAAGGAGGTGCCTTGCCATTGCCAGCATCAGAGCCTTTTGGAGCTGGTGGGCCGCCAGAAGGAGGAGGAGCGGCGCCAGTAGGAGCAGCTGGAGCAGCAGAACCTGAAGCAGCGGGACCGGGAGCACCCGTTGCACCCGATGCTGCAGGACCAGGAGCTTTAGCAGTATCGGTTGGAGGTGGTCCAGTTGGTCCTTTAGGTGAAGCTGATTGTTGAGGAGGTCCACCTGGTGCACCCGTTGGTGGAGGTCTTTAAGGATAATATGAAATAAAGATATTTTAGAAAAACAGTTGAGAGCATTGGACACTTAGAATTATTAACTTTTAAAACTTACTGTTGTGCAAGAACGCCGGAGGCGATGAAGATACATAAGATAAAGATGATTGTACTCTTAGGGATTTTCATTTTGTATTAAAATATGCTATTTTTAAGATCAAATGAAGGTTTGTCGATATTAAGTTTTATCGTGATTGAAAAGGGAGCAAGAACCCATATTTATAACAAATTTCGAACGCAAATGAGATGTTTTAATTTAACTAACACTCTTAACATAAGGTGACACTCTTAACATAAGGTGACACCGCTGATAGATGTAAATAATTAACTATATAGTATTACCTAAACTATTAGTTTTCGAACACCTTCGCGCTCCCGCGTGTTGTATACAAAATATGCAATGTGCATAAATATAAAAACGAATCGTTTCTCAATTTACGTCGATTATTCGTTTACATATATCATTAATAAATCTAGATAACATATATTATTTCTTAATTGATAAAGCTTATAAAATAGTAGTACCAAAATTTATATAATTTTCAAAAAAAAAAACGTTATTTTTTTATCACGCAAACTCATAAACAAAGCTTTAATGTAATATTACAACAAGTAATTTTGAGTTGCTTTTTTTGAAATACCTTTTCTTTAAAAGAAATGTTATTTGTTTCACAACATTAGTTATCGTTGTTTCTAAAAAGAAATTTTATTTTGTGCACAATAAACATTTGTTTATCGTTAATATTATTATTTATAAATTAATTGCTGACAAGGTCAAAGATTTATCTTAACTGGTTTGACAAATTTGTCATTTTAAGCAGTTTTTTAATTTAAGTAATGTAAATTAGGTATGAGTAACTCGATTTAATTAAAAATCAGAATTTGTGAAACGTGTGAAATGTACTCAAAGTAGCGATTTTATCCAATAAAAATTTATCATTATTTTTTTTTCGAGATTCGCAAGTCGGACCCAAAGTTACATCAACAATGTTGGCCAATAGAAAACTTTTGATTTGTGAGTAGAACAATAAAACACATTTTCATACATTCAAAAAAAATTTTGTTAAAATTTGCAATGATTTGGTAAATAAATTATTAAATTAAAAAAAGCCAAATACGTATATTTCTACAATAATTTAATAATATTTAATATTAAAAATTCCTAATAGAGCAACAGAACAATAGAATGTCAATACCATTATAAAGTACGTGATAATAATACAGGTTGACAATTTGGGTAATTATTTTAATTATTTTAATTATTTTAATTATTTGAAGTTGTTAGTACCGTTTATTAATTCGAAACTTTTATTGCATTATTAAATACAAATTACAAAAAAAAACACTAAATATATAATATTTTAAAA